TTCCTTCCTTGCAAAGGCTAGACAGTACTGCGTCAGATATATTCGCGTTCCTCCTCCACATTCTCATCTGTCCGTGGACACTTAGGTTGTTCCCACCTTTGACTACTATGGCTAAAGCTGCTAGGAACATTGGGGTCAGCTAAGAACACTGGGGGCACACCGTGTGCTTGAGACCCTGCTTCCAGTCCTTTGGAGTTTCCAGCTAGGCGTGGACTTGCTGGACCACAGTGCTTCTGCTGCGCAGTCTCAGAGATAACTGTCCCGCTTTGTGTTCTCACCACCGTGGACGAGGGGTCCGATGGGTCCCATGCTCACCATCACATCTGCCTTCCTTCTTTCCTTTAGTCCTGGGGTCCTAGTGGGTGTGAAGTGGTGATGAGGTGACCGGCCTCTAACTGGAATTACTCCCGAGTTGGCTGCTTGGCTGACACATGGCCGGGGCTGGTGGCGTTTTCCAGGGGAGGCTTATGCCATCTGCCCAGGCCGTGCTGAGCAGGAGGCTCTTAGCTGCACCTGAACCCTTAACATGCCGCTGTAGCTCATCACACTCTTGTAAGCAGAGTGTCTACAGACGCAGCGAGGACACCACGCCTCGGCACCCCATTCGCCTAGGGTGCTTCTGGGGAAAACTTGTCCAGTGTCAAGAGTCATTCCGCTGGTGCTGGTGACTTTCGCCATAGAAACGAAGTGCTCTGTGGTCTCCCACGTGTGTCTGATGGGCCCAGACGCATTCTAGCTCAGCCGTCTCTTAGCACGTCTGTGGGAACAGCAGCGGCCTCAGCGGGTGGCTTTGCTGGGATTTGTCCCAAGACAATGAGTATATTTGAGGACCGCCGTCGACCCCGGTGTGTTGGCATGCAGCTCCCTCTTCTTGCAAAATTTCTTGAATTCCCGATGCAAGCACAAGTGACTTGTTCTCTCTCTGAAACGTGCCTTTGATAGATGGTGAAAACCGTCCTTAATTGCCATGTAGTTGACACCCACACGCAAGATCTGGGCCACTGGTCTCTTCAGACTGGGCGTTCTCGACCTCCAAGTCGGGTGATGTTACGACTTGTTACCTGGCAAAGCCTGGGACGTGCTGCCGGCTCCCCACCCCGACCTCGACTTGTCGGGGGGCAGCGTATCCCACAGAGGGTTAGAGGAAAGTGGTTTGGGGCTTAGAAAATAGTTGAATGAAGGTTTACTTTGTGACTTTAAGCTATGGCTAACTTCATATTTTTAAATCTCCCATGTGGTTATACAAGCAGAGATGCCCCAAAGTTGTCACAAACAAGGCTCCCTCGAGCCTTCCTGGCCAAGGCTTTTTTTTTTTTTT